GGTTCTCCTTTGAAGAGGTTCGGGGCTACTTGGTATTTAGGGGTCCCCTTTAAAAGGGTTTAGGGTTTAGGGTTTAGGGATTAGGGTTTCTGGTCTAGGGTTTAGGGTTTAAAGGGTTTAGGGTTTTGAAGAGGTTTGGCTGCTTGGCGATTTCCCTCAAATTACAGTTTAGGGCTTCCCTCTATTAGGGTTTATAGGGTTTATGGTGTAGGGTTTCCCTAAACTGTTTTTGTTTTATGTTCCACTCGCTTTACAACTCAAAATTCTATTCCATCTTAAGCAAGCCCTAAAGACCAATTCCCACTCTCAAACCCTAAACTCCGCGAGCCCTAAACCCAAACTCTCAAGATAAGACCCTGGACCCTAAGCCCTGACAGCCGACTTGGGGTCCGACTTGGCAAGTTTGCTGCTGCCCGGCTGTTGAGGGTTTAGGGTTTAGGGGCCCCCCCACACCATCCAAGCTCTAAGTCATGGCGATAAGCCCCAAAACGGTAAACCCTGAACCCTACATATCCTTAAATATCCCTATCCACCATATACTCCTACATATAGTCCCCCTTAAGTAGATAGAATACGTGGTATATGGGGATCTTGTTAAAGTTTACCCAAAGCCATATTGTATCTGCTTAAGGGGGACTGTACCCCCATGTTTCCTTTTGTGCCCCTAAATCTTAAATGTCTCTATATGCACCTATATCTCCATTTTAGACCCTAAACGCGTAAAGTCTCAAATCCTATACTGGACCCTCGCCCCGAAACCCCTAAAACCCTAAACTCATTATGAACCCTAAGCCCTTAGGCCTAAGACCCTAAAATCCAAAAAATCGGCAACCCCAAGCCCCCCGCTGCCCAGCTGGGTCGCTACCTGGCCGTTGCCAGCGCTCAGCCGGATCTACGCGTCCGGGTGCTCGTGGGCAACAAGCCGGGACCCCAGAAGAGGGTTTAGGGTTTAGGGTTTTAGGGTTTAGGGGTCAGGAGTTTAGGGTTTTGAAAGGTGGTTGTGCTATTGAGGGTGTTGGGGTGTAGGATTTAGTGTTTGGGGGGTGTAGGGTTTTCTGGGTTTAGGGTAAAACTCAGGGTCTAGGATTCAGGCTTGAAGGCTTAGGGTTTGCAGGGATTCTATAGCGACCGGGGATATTATCCCAAGAATGGAAAATCGATTGGAAGGGAAACTATAAATCCTATATGAATCCTACATAAACCCAATAAACCCTAAACCGATTCCCCTTCATATGCCCTATGAACCCTAGAAACCAGAGGGGGTTTGACTGGGTTGATAGGAGCCCCAAAATTTGGTTCAATCTTCGATGTTTAGGGATTGAGAGTAGGAAATCAGAGGAATCCTCTGTAAGGAAAGGGAAAGCTACGCCCCAAAGCTCATTCAGGGATTCGGCATGGCTGTTTCCCCGAGCGCGTCGCGCAGACGAAACGTCTCTGGGCTTGAAAAAACAGAGTCCGCATGAGCTATAGCATCCTAAAGCCTAAAGCTGAAGGACAAACCCCCAAAACTCCGGCCTAAAACCGGACCCTATACAATTTCTTTAAGATCTAGACCCCAACTCCTAAATCCTAGACCCTGAAACCACAAACCCTAGACCCTAAAGCCCTAAACGTTAAAACTCTAAACCCCATAAACCTAAAGCCTACACGCTAACACCCTAAACCTTATATTAGCTGATATTACCATTTATAACCCTTAGATAACCCCTATAAGCCCCTTTAAAGACCCCAAATCCTAAAACCCCTAGACCCTAAAGCCTTAAATCCTAGACCCTAGAGCCCTAAACCCTAAAACTCCGAACCCCTACACGCTAAAGCCTGTTTAGGCATCTCCTCGCCCAGGGCCGACCTCCCCAAGCGCGCCGTTTCCTTCGAAGAGGCGAAAGGCTTTGCTGCTCGCGCGGCCTGGGCGCATCTTGTGACACTCCGATTTGGGGTGAAGGGTTTAGGATTTATCAGGGTTTAGGTTCAGAGTTTAGGGTTGAGGGTTCAGGCTTTAGGGTTTAGTGTGCAGAGTTTAAGGTTTAGGGTTCATGATTTAGGGTGTAGGGTTTATAGAGATTGTGCAGGGTTCGTGTCGTGAGTGTTGAGCGGAGTTTTGTTCTGAGTCTTGTGACTAGCTTTTTGGCCCTATACAGTCTCGATTTGCACTTGGCTTGAGGGGTTTAGGCTTTAAGGTTCAGGCCTTTGGGGTTTAAGGTTCCGGGTGTAGGGGTTTGGGGTTCCAGGTTCAGGGTTCCAGATGTAGGGTTTAGGGGGTTACACCCCCCGAAACTAACATGGAAGCCCCTTAGCAGGGCTTGATGGGGGCTCTAGTTTAGGGTATACATTCCCTCAATCTAACATGGAAGCCCAAACAAGGCCCCACAAAGACTACGGTTTTTGAAAACGGGGCTATAACCATTTGCTTCCATGTTTGTTTGGGAGAGCGATTAGGGTTTGGATTGGGAAGAGTTACTGCTATCTATAGTGGGGGATGTAATGGGTTTACGGTTTTGTGCATAAATGGTGATACTGTTGATGAACAAAATCCGTCATGAACCTCGATGTGGCGGATGATGATCGCTTCCGGCTTTAGGCACATAGGTGTAGAGCAGCTATTCGCAGTCATAGAGCTATGAGTACTGGCAATATATCTGTTAAGTGTTCGTCGCAGTGATGTTCAAGGCGTGACCCTTAACCCTGAACCCCCAGGGAACATGCGACGGCTTCAGGGTGAATGTTTGCGTGTCTCAAAATCCACGCGAATGTATCCCCAGCATTCGGAGCATCGTGAAATTCATCGGGCTTACTAGCTAGGGTTAGGGTTTAGTGTTTAGGTCGAGGGCATGGGGCTCCTGGATTGTTTTCGGCGCTCCCAGCTGAATCCTTCCATATGTATACATGTGTACACATATGTATGTATATACATATATATATATGTATATATGTATAGATTCCTTCCCTGGTCTCACATGGGTTGCCCAACCTATGCATAAGGTGAAGGCCTCAAAACGAGTCGCAAGTCCCTTGAACCTCCAAGTAATGTGGGGGCATGATGACTTGAAGCATAAATCTGAACGTCAGGGTTCATGGCTGCATCGCCGTCATTGCCATGTGCATTGCTACATGGACCGGCCGCGCTGAACCTGGCGGTTACGAGCGGCCTCCGCAGCACCACGGCTGTCGAGGGAGCCCGACCTTGCCTTGACTATGAAGTGCGCAAGCGGGCACATCAAGACACTGCACGTCTCTGCGGCGAGGCCGGCCTTCAGTTCATCCCTCTGGTTGTTGAGGCCTGTGGGGGCGGCTGGGGGCCAACGGCAGTGCAGACCTGGCGAACGCTGCGCTCCCTCATTGCGGCCCGCACTGGGCTTTCTGTGGGGCTTGCTGTGGAGCAGCTCCTGCAATCCTTGAGTGTGGCATTGCAGCGGGAGAACGGCAGAGCGGTCCTGCGCCGCATGCCCTGCACAGGGGAGGCTGCTCACTTGTTGCCGCTTCCCTACATTTCTGGGACGTCCATTTCTGCATTCCATTCCTCTTTTCTTGGGAAGTTTCTTTTCGATCTTCGCCTGACAGAGCCGGGGGGCGGCGCGGCCGCACCCTGCGGTGCCGGGGCACGTTCTCCTTCGATCACTTTTCGCCTGACTGAGCCGGGGGGCGGCATAGCCGCACCCTGCGTTGCCGGAGCTTTCTCTCTCTTTCGTGTCGCCCGCCTGAGCCAGGGGGCGGCATAGCCGCACCCTGTGTTGCCGGGGCCTCTCTTTTGGGTGGGTTTTTAGTCCACGTGCCCTAAGGGACACGGTTTTCCCATCCCTGCACAGTGTACATGATAGACCATCTTCACATTGTCTGCGAGTCTGCTCTATCGCTACGATTGTACGACAGAAACATCACGAAGACAAGCCAGGATCGTGGTTCAGATGGACGCTATGACCGGAATGCAACTTAATGAGTCACGTCGACAATGCACAATGCTCATCATCTACGATGTCGCAGAGCGCCTGGAGTCCACAGGAAAGCGGGGGGGGGGGGGGGGG